AGCACGAGGGTTTCGTTCTGTACTTATGTGTGAGTGTTTTAGGTTAAGAAACTTGATCAAAATCCATGCATTGATGTGAAAAATATTTGATTTGCAAACTATAATTTTTCAATGTTTTTTCATGCTTTTTAGCTCTCAATCATATCCAATCAACTTCAATTCTTCCCTAATCTGATTTGCACGAAATCTTGGAGATATTATATGCATAAAAAGATTGCAAAACCTAGGTTTAGTATTTTTCATGTATTTAATTAATTTAAATGAATTATTAATAATAAAAATCCAAATAAATAAATAAATAATGAAGAAAAACTTCCCTTTGGGCCAAGTGGTCGTGCACATGCTTTGGATGATGAATTGTGGAAGAAAAAGAGGCCCATTAGCAATTTTAGGTCATTTGAAGCAATGTTGATTTTTCAAAATATCCAAAACTTTCCCAACTTCCACAAGGCATAACTTGCTCAATTTTTAAGATTTGCTCATGTTCTTGGACATTTTGGAAAGGTCTTTGAGTCCTATAACCAATTCCTTTGGTCCCATGTCATTTTGATTTACCAATATCAAGTTATGGCCTTTGACTTAAAGTCCCTTTTTGTTGACTTTTGAAAATGACCTATAATGTTGAAATTGATAACTTTTTGTGAGAGCATTTCTTGAACTTGAAGTGTGAAGAGGAGTTGTAGTAAATGTCTTTCTATTCAAAATGAGCTTTGGATGGAATTTTTCTGATAATCCATGTGGAAGTTATGCCCTGGTCAATTTACAGTTGACTTTTTCAACTGTCCAAATAAGGAAACTTTTGCATCTTGATGATTTTTGAGCCAAGCTTTGAGAATCATGATCAAGAATTGATCAAATGATGTTTGTGGCTTCAAAATGAGATGTTGACCAAAAATTTGGACTTTTGACTGTCAAATGACCATTTTGCCCCTACAGTTGACTGTAGTGCAATTAGGGTTTTGACTGTGCAATTTTGAGCTGAAAGTCTTGAAACTTGGCATGAGGATGCTTGACCATGTTTATAGGCATGTGAGACTTGATTGGACCCTTGGAAACTTCATTTTCTTGATCAGAACCAAAACCCTAATTTTGACTGTTTAGGAGGCTCTTACACTGTGCAACCCTTGGGGAATTTTGAAGCTTTTGACTTGGCAAATTTTGAAGGATATGGGAGGGCAAATTTTGGGGTACAACAACCATCCCAAGGTAAAATGAATGGGAAGGGGGCGTCTTAGCTACTCTTCAGGCTAATTATAAGAATAGGATGACTTACCTTTACTGTAAGGCTTTTTGGAAGCCTGCTCCGAGTAAACTTGCGATTCTTTCTTTTAGGCGGACAATTCTCTATATCGACTATCTAGAGGAGGGAATTCCTTAAGACTACCACTGCCTCCGCCGCTGCTGCAGTATCCTCATCAGATACAGATTCAGATACTACTCTTTGCGACATATGTTTAACTAGCCTTCGGGTGGAAAAAGATTAGCAGTTAAAAGAGCCGCATCCAAAGAAATTAAATTGTGTTGTGGAAATTAGTATACTATTATATGTGGTAAATTTACTGGTATTCAATCAATTAGGTAACTCTTAGCAAGTGCTACGGGTGCTTCGTACTATATAGAAGTATTGGAATTTTTCCTCTTCTTTATATCATATAACAATTTTTTTTTACGATTCTGCTAATCCTTATGCTCTAACTAGTCTTAAAATTCTTTTAATTACGGGAATAAACCTAAGAAATAACTTCAAAAGAAAGAAAGGGAAATAATAGGGTTTTATTTATCCTTACACTATTTGATCAAGGAGAAGGCGGGGGACCTGTAAAGCATCAACCATTTAAATGGATCCATCTTTTCTTAGTCTGATTCTTATATGTTGGGTGCCTCTTCCTCTTCCACAGATTCGGATTAGTGACTAGGGACCTAGCTAGGCTCCTTGCCTTGACCCCAGAGATCTCCCTGCCCTTTCGATCTTACTTATTGACTTATTCTCTAATCCACCTATGGGCATATTCCTTCCACTGGGGTTGCTTCATTCTGACCTATCTCAACAAGCCCATCTAAGATCCTATTGAAATTCAATCAATGGCACAACGTCCGATTCGATCACTCTATCAAGTAGAAGTACAGGGATGATTCAATCGATTCCTAAGACCTTGAAGGGCGAAAGCCCTAATTAAGATAGGATGAATCATCTAAGTTCCCTATGGTGGGTTGGAGACACGGAATGGGGGAAGGAATGAAAGAAGCCAACAAGTCGGTCTAACCAGTAACAGTAGAGATTGTTAAAAGCATGGATGAACCTTCTATTCTGTATTCTGTATGTCAGGTCTTGGTCTTACTTAAATAGTCAATAGTCAGTTTCATTGACTGCGGATTGCCTTTCTACGCTTTCTTCTCTTATGAAATTTCTCAACTGTAATCTAAATGCCCTGAATAGGTTTTGCAAGCTTTGCACAGAACAGTAAATCTATGAGGGGGAGGAATAATAGTATAAGGACGCATAAGGAAGGGCTGGTACACGTGAATCAGAACTAGCTATTTATTACCGGAAGTTACATCCCTATCCTATAATGGTAGAAGGTTGGGCTACTTTCCCCAAGAGTTGGGGATCCACCAGCTCTTCTATACGATCCTTATCCTTCTTTGGAACAGCCATTGTATGAGAGAAGTCTTATCCGTATAGTATGTAGCCACTATCGGTCTAGTGTAGCATGTCTCTCTTCACGGGATCCTCTGCCCTGTGCAGAGCTGATCACCCAATCACATCCGTCTTGTGCTTGTAAGTCTCGATTGCCCTCAAAGCGTAGCCTTTGCTACCTCGGTCTGGAATCTAATCTAAGGATCTTTGTCTGTTTAGAAAACTAGATTCTTAGTAGCAGTTGTCTTATTTCATTTTATTGAATCTACCCTTATCAAAATAGTTGACTTAGCTCAGTACCGCTGACGGTGGCGTAGGAAAGACTGCTCAAGAGACACCTGAAAGACAGGCAATAATGAGTTTTCCGACTACTATCTTATGAGATAGAGATTCCATACTATTATTTCCTCTTTGTTGATTATACCAAAGGGATCCCGACTCTGCGCTGGTCCCTACTTCCGATGTCCCCGGCTGTATCGAGTCCCGTGGATCTTGCATTCGTTCTGAGCGTGGAAATCTTCTTTGCTTTCTTTAAGTTCCTTTCGTGGGTGTGTCGGGGGCGATGTGAAAGTCCCTTCTTTTTGTCTTTTAGGCATTCTATTCGAGTTTAACTTTCCTAACAAGCTTTCCATTATGTCTAAGTGTCCATGCTTGGGGTTCCGGATCTATATCTATCACCATTGGCCTTTGCTTGAGCCCTTCGGTTATCATTCCACGTGGTATGAGTTAATGCTGGCAGGTAGGGGCTTATCTATGTGATTCGCTACGCTTCTCTTGTTTCTATATGAGAATATGCACCTTGGGAGCTGCGCCGCTTGAAGAGGAAACCCGGGAAAATCTTAACCTCAGCGTACCAAGGTCTGGGGCTGAATCCGATCCAAAAGAAAAAGAGCTTGAATTCACTAGCCAAGTGAGAAATTCTCTGATTCTGACTGAGATCTTTGTCCTACTTCTCACCCGGCTAGCTGCTGAATTCAAGTAGTTGACTTGACCGGAATCACAAGTTCTCAATGATACCGGCAATTGGGAATCTCAGTTGACGAGCCTGGCAAACGGAGCTACGAAACCCAGCTTTTTTCTTGCTTTTCGCATTGCTTTTTATTGAGGTGTAGGCCGCCCATTTGGAGGATAATCGTATCGGCCCTTCCAGCAGCTCGTCGAGCAGTTGAAGTAGTGGATTTTGTTCAATCGGCTAAGAGGCGAGTGCCTTTTCCTCTATAGAATGTCTCTTTTTCCGTAAAGTGCTAATGTGCTTCATGGCTTTCGTTACTATCTTTTGAGTCTTGTGAGTGGTCCATTCCTTCCTTAAAGTCTTCTGTGAGGGATCGATCTTAGGCAAAGACACTATGGGATGGTCCCGGACCTGGAAGAAGATAACCTCGAGCGGACCGTTTTTCCACAGTAAAATGACTTATTTAAAGAATTTATTGACAGCTTAAACAATTGATTGCCTTTTCTTTGTTCTTTCCCGAGTGAAGTGACTCACACTAAGTCCCTCCACGGCCCCTTACTTAGTCAGATTCATCTCCTTCCTTTGAGAGAATCGTGGTAAGGGCTGAAGATCGAGTTCATGCTTTTGGGCGTGTGTAAGGATTTCCCTATCGGTTAGTCGGAGAAGGGGCAATTGACTTCCTCCCTTCATTCTTCTATTCAAGTGAGAGGAAAAAGACTTTCACGCTTTATGGTCTGAATTCAACGGATCTAAAATTATCCATTTCTGAGCTTCAAGCCTTGCAAGCTTTCGAAGTCTTGCATTCATTTCTGTCTCATTTGATGGTAGAGTGTACCTGGCCCCTATAGGAACCCCCTGATCTAATGGGGGGAATTCCTATGAAAGAGGCTCACTTGGAAGGAGCGATATCTAGCAAGTCTTCCATGAGCGAATGGTCTCATCCAGTTCACGAGTCAATCCTATCATCCGCTCAGCCTTTAAGGACTTAGTTTCCTTTCTTCCTTCCTCATGTCATGTGTAATAGCAGAATTCGTATCTGTCTGTCTGCAGTCCGTATGTAGGTATGTCCAGCGGTCTAGCCAGCGTAGGCTACTCTTTTTCTGTTAGTCCATCCAGTCAGTCAGTTGATAGTTTGATTGAGGGCATGAAGGATAAGGTACCTTCCTAAACTGAGATTGAAATCTCAAAAGTGTTTTCAAAGCCTTTTTGGCTTCAAGGATGCCCCATCTAGTGGGAGAAGTGGTCCAAAGCGAGAGTCTTTCGGGATGGTCTTGGGCTTTGGGAAGATGCTGGGCCCGACTATGAGCCTGGTCTAAGCTAGGTGCAGATCATTTATTTGAAGTATTATCATTGGCAAGGTCTTCTGTTCCGTCTCGTCGAGATATAGTAGAGTCTTTTGTGCGCCTGGGGATGATGTATCTTTGTGTTTTTCGTCTGAATGAGTCGATGTATGGAATCCTCCAAGACATGACTTTGTATGCCATGGCACTGAGACACAGGAGTTCACAAATTCCCTTTTTAGCTAAGGATCTCTAAGTGCCTTTCTGTGGTTTATTCTTTCTTGCCATTGCTGCGCCTTTTATTTCCCTTTATCAAGAGTGGGTTCTGTTACCATCAAAATATGGAACTGAAGGAGTTGTCGAGCTGACTCAAGGAAGAAAAGATAAATCTTTTGCCCTAACGCCAACGAGAGTGGCGAAAGTGGGTAGGTCAAGAAGCTGATTTGGAGAGCGGAGAAGTGGCTTCTTGACAGTCCAATCATCCTACGATAGCAATGCCGAGACTAAGCACCTAACCAACAATAAGTAATTGGCGAAGCTGGTAGTTCGGTGGGGAATGGCGTGCCGCAGCTAAAAGTGGAAGTGAATTCATAGGTACGAATCATAGAGAAGCCCAAGGGCGTGTCCAAAGCATCTACATTAAAGAGGGTAGAAATAAAGATTTTTAGTAACTTATTCATCGTCATCGCTCTCGTAGAGGGCTTTGTTCGCTCCTCTAAAGCATTAGGGGACCTACGGCAGAACTTCATTCAATAGACATGTCCGTAATAATTGAAAAGAGAGTGGGGCATAGACTATTTACCGAAGACGAAAGACCAGCGGAAGGGCATGAGTCGCCGAGGAAGAGCGTAGATCAAAGCAAAGGTAAAGTACCTACATAGCCCAGGTTATCAACAGGGGGAGCGCCAAGCCTAGGAATATTGATTCAATCTGATCTTTAGGTAGACATCATGGATTTTCTTGTCCTCCATTAGTAAAGTGGTTGAATAAGGTGCTTGGAAGCAGTCAGCTTAATTGCATCGATCCTTCTTAATTGCGTTGAACCTCTCTACTCTAGGAGTATTGGATCCTTCTTAATATTTTGATAGAACTGGTCAACGTTGAGTGAGTATATCAATTGCAACTCGCTTCTTTTGTTACTGGTTCTGGTGGTTTATCACGTGGGTAAAGCTGACTTCGTCCGGTGATGATTGATTTAACATTATTCCAAAGTATGCAACTGAACCCATTTTCACAAACCTGCAGCTTAACCTACTACAAAAAAAAGAAGATCGGCGGCCTCTCTTTCCTTATTTACAGAGAAATGTCATTTGCTAATTTTCAACTAGATCAACGATTGGAAGATCGGATATGCCCCCTCGCCTTAGTCGACTTGTTCCTGAGATGAGAAGACTCGCTTGGAAACAGACTACGCACTTAGAAGCCCTACCCCATTGTGATTATGGTTGCTTGCCTTCATAACAGTAGGTTCGGTCAGCAGAGGGCTCTACGGAGAGTGTTGCAAATCAAAGATTACGATAAGAGAGACTATAAAAAGGACTCCATATCTTGTGCTTTTTGCCCTAAATCAATTGGCTTTACGAATGTTTTTGAGTTTTTTGAGCATGACGAGCTAGTCAGTATCCCGTCCCTCCCTTCTCTTTAGCTTAGTTCTAGAACGTGGTTTTGAGGGGGGCGGATTGAAAGAAGTAGTTCCTTCTCGGATTCAGAAGGACCGAAGGTTGCACTATGTTCAGGGATTGGTATTCCTGTTCTTTATCAGCCGCTAAAGGAGGAATTTGATCCAGTGGATGCTGGAAAGTGAGGTAAGCCGATCCGGTTCGAGCCGAGCTGGTAGAAAGCGGTTAGCGCCTGTCGTAAAGGGCATTAGGTTCTGAAAGAAATAGACTACGGCCCAGCAAACTCCGGAACTGACGTAACTACACTATATATAAATATAAAGTGAGAGCTCCTGCTTTACTAACCGTAGACTACAGTGGAATCAGTAGATCGAGTTGAAGCAGATGTGGTGGACTCTATTGCAGATGAAACTATATCTTTAGCCGAATGTTCCGGTGGTGAAGTTGAATCTGTGGAGTCTGGGCCAGAGACTGACCTTTCTAGTTCCGTGTCGGAAGGGCCTCCATTTGCGTAGTCTCGCGCAAGGCAGGCGAAACTAGATATGGTTGTAGATTCAAGAGCGAAGGAAGTGTAGCCTACGGTTAAGGGAAGCCGTCTGGGAATTTAGCATACGACGTAGTGTGGCTACTAGTTCCAGCAGGTATTGGTGTCTAATCTCTCTTACTGGGATGGTTCGTCTGGGAATAAGCTAACCCCTACCACGGCTTCATCGCCTTAACGCAAGTAGTGTAGTCAGATAGTCCTGAGGTAGCCAACCGACCTTAACTTAACAATTACATTTCCTCAGTTGAGTTCTGAACCTCTTTCTCTTTTATATCCTTTCTTTTTGATTTTTCTGTTAGATTCTTAGTAGCTGCTGTTTATTCAAGGATTGCATTTTCTGTGCTCGAATGAAACTTTGGTTGGACGGGCGGGTCGAGGGATCTCAAAGAGAGGGTGCAGTTAGTCAGTACGGCAAGTAGAAAGCAGCTAAAATACCGGCAGGTAGAAAGGAAATAAGCTAGGCGATTACCGGAAAGTAGGCCAGTTCCGGTAGTGGTTACTTGATCAGAGAATCAACTCCTTGCTTCATTCTTTGTTCTGGTAATCTATTGTAGTTGTTATTAAACAACAGTATTCCCACCTCGTCTATCTATCCTTTAAAGCCGAAGGAGAGGAGTGAGGGGTTTACCAAGAAATTATGATCCTTATGGGAATCATAGCTATGCCCAGGTAGTTTCATATTAGCAAGAAAATGGGTATTCTGAATGAATAAACGCTAAACGATATTTTATTGATATTGATATATTAATAAATCTATTAAATAAACAGGAACTAGCTCAACTTGTAGGGAATAAACAAGCTACCTTAGGGAAGATGCCTTAGTACAAGCGCTAAGCGAGTGAGTGAACTGCTCCCTCTACTTCCCTCTGGCGTATTTATCATCGAAAGTGTGTATGAAGACGAGGATAAAGACAGTCTGCGGCTATTTACTCAATCTCCACGGAGGAAGGATTATCTTGGGTTACAAAGATCCAATCCAATTTACAGGTTTTACCACGACTGGCTCGAATCTCTTTATCTACGGCTAATCACCTCGTCTCCGGACTTATCATCTCCAGTATCTTCCGCATCCGAACTGGTTCACTAGACTTTAGGTGCTTTTTAGCTGTCTTCGAGGTTCGTTTCTCAGCAACTACCCCCCGGGATTCGTCCTCTCAGCTTTTGACTATCTCGAGTTTCTCATCTATGAACGTGTCGGTTCTGCTCTCCCCTTTTCTTTTGGGTTGCCCAACCCTCCATAACTCAAATATTATTATCTCTTTAATTACGCCCCGCACAACCATCTTAACTCGCTCGGCCTCCTCAAAGAAGAAGTCTTATGTGTCAGCTTCTCGCTTTAGCTCGCAGGCCTGCTCTGCTGCTCTTCAAGCAGATGCTTCTTTCTCTTCCAGCTCAAGCCCATCTTGACTCTTTCTCAAAAGAAAGGAAGGCTCAGAAGGACTCGCCCAAAGCAGAAATCTAATATACAAGATGGAATGGTTCATCAACATGCCTTGGGAGCATGAGAGCACGACTGGGAAAACACTTAAATAAGATGTAGGGCTAACCTCCCCCAAAGGATAGGGTAAAAGTTTATTCCAATCTTTCGGATAAAACCTAACCGACAATTTAGATTCTGGAAAGACCCTTCTTACTGGAAACCCATTATGACCTTTGTACCACCAGACACTTATGCCATTCAATCAAATGGAGAAGAAAATCTGTGAACTACCCCGCACTTCTTTTTCGTAAAAAGAACATATTTCTCCTCGTAATAATCTTCGTAATTAGAATCTGGATACTGAATCTACGACATTCATGATCAGAGTCGACTGGACTGGAATGACATTGACGCAGAAACAAAATCAAGAGAGTAGGCAGAAGCTAGAACTGCTCGATCCGGCCGAGGTCAAGTAAATGGATCTCGTCCTCTTTAGGGGGAACAGGCTCTACATCCAATTATTGAACTTACTCTCGTCTCTTTGCTCTTTGTTTTACGTTTATAGACAATTGGAAGAGATATGAAATAAAGATATCTAGAACTTTCGGCGTAAGACAAAGTTTTCGGCGCAGGGAGCGGAGTTGGCAGGTAGCCCAAGCCTATGTTTTCTGAGATCGACGTACTGGACGACTAGCCAAGCTTCCCTTTCTTCTTCACTTAGATGCAGCTCGAGGGGTACTTTTCTGCCTCGACCTTTCTTCACGAAAGCCCGACAGGCTCCTCAAGGTCATAGCCCATGTCCTTCGCTTCTTTGCAATCGGACTGTACTTTATTTTTCTTATCTCACCATCGGTGACGATTCTTTCCAGCATAGAATAAGACTTCCGGGCTACCCTGTGAAAGATGAGGAAAAAAACCTTCCATTGAGAGGACGAATGTCGCTCCACTCCATTAGGGTCCTCTGCCTGAGAAGGTTGCTGTAATGCAGGAAGTGGCATCTTTATTTACCGAGAGTTGAAGTAATTCCCCCAGCCCCAGTTTAGAGATTTCGTCAACGGGGTCATGCTCTTTGAGATAGAGTTGACCGTAAATCCCTTAGCTTTCGAGGGATTCGGAGAGGTCTATGAACCTGTGCTTCGGCTTTCGTTGGCGGGCTTTCATCATCCATCGCTGTCTGGGCCGTCGTTGTAAAGACGCGCATCCGTACAGACAGTATGCCTAGACTCCTTTAAAAAAGGGCTTATTGTCGACAAATACCCAGTTTATCCCTTCTCATCAACGTATTTGAAGCATTGATGAAGGGTGGAAGGTACCATGTTGTGAATCCAAGCAGGAAGTTTAGGAGGTGTCACCGTCAATCACGTAAGAAGTAAGCTCAGTCTTCAGATCCGCACACACAAGAGACGAATCTTGCCGATGGCTCTTTGCGAGTCGGCATTATACCCCGGAATAGTAACCTTGGTCTGACTTAGCCGGCTCGTAGTAAGGAATTCCTAGATCGGCTAAGGCCCGCAGTGGCATCACGTTGATGGAGGCCCCAGGGTCCCGCGGTAGCCTTCTTTCTTTCGCCGATTTCACCGGTGAGATAAAATAAAGGGGCCGCTTATGTATGCTTATTCATGTCCAGCAAGATGTCTTATGTCGATAAGGTTATATCTGCACTCTGGACTTTCTTCATTGGTGCTTCCATGTACTCATCTTCGATGCTTTGAACTTCCACCCTGTTGACATGTAGGGAATACTTTTCTTTGCTTCCTTCCTACTACTAAGCTGCTTTCTTTATAGGCTAAAGCCTCCTATCTACGGTAGCTGACGCAGCAAGACCCGAGGAATCGGATACGGATCTTTTTCAGTCTCTTTCGCTGGGGCAAAGCAAAGAGGGAGGACTTTCGGAAGAAGGCGTCGTCCGCTGATGATCTTGAGGTTGGGAGGCAGGTCAGGGGGAGAACTAATTCTTATGGATAGCCCGCGAATACTCCTTACTTAGGCTTTCCCCCCGGAAGAGCTGATGCTACTTACTAAGAGACTTCCGTTAGTGAGGAGAGAACTATAGGCTTTAGCCCAAAGACAGAGTCTGGGATTTCTTAACAATCTAGTCCCTCCTGAAATAAGACAACACAGGGGGTGGAGTGAGCCTAGAGTAGAATAAGACTCCCTCTTAGACTCTCAACTCATACCAGGGCGGGCAGGGAAAGACTGAGACTACCGATACCGAGCCGGGGTTGGATCACAGGATAGATACCCTATGGTTGGTCTCTATGCCTGCTTCACTTCGTAGCATTAAGGGGGAAGTGCCATGAGGGAAATCGACTAGGAACGTGATGTCTTCCCAAAAAATGAAGAGTGGAGGGGACTTCGACTGCCTTCTTGTATCGGGTGAAGAGAAGGGGGTGCTAGGCTTAGTAGGGCTCGAACCTACAATATTACCGTTATGAGCGGTACGTTTCAACCAATTAAACTATAAGCCCCTACGGATCTCTACATGCAATTCACTCACTTCGGGAAGAGTGGACGGAAAGAGGAGGCCTTTGCTCTATCTGCTTCTTCCTCTTCCCAGGCCAAGAATGAACAATTTGATAAAAAAAATTATTTTTTTTCTTTGTTTGTATATATATATATATAATAAAATTAAGATTAAGCATGCGGCCCTTTCGTGACTCAAACTGCCGGTACGCTTTCCGGCTCGCAACGACTCAAACGGGCGGGGGCTATCTATTTGCTTGCAAAGCGGGTTGTTCGCCTTTCGGATTCGGAAAGGGCTTGCCTATTTGATTCAAAAGGCGCTACTAAACTACTCTAGTACAGCTAGTGTTAGTAGTACAACAGAATTCCGTTCACCCCGCAATCCCTTCTTCTTCAAGAGCTCCCTATTCTCTAGCAGCCCCTTCTTTCACAGCTCCTTCTCAAGCACTTGCCATTGTCTGGATATTTTCCTTGCCCCATTCTTCGATTATTGGTGCATCAATTCCTTGCCTTTGCTCTCATTGCTGCTTGAAGTCCAGTCTTTTAAGTGAAATCCCCAAAATGGAAAGTCAGTAGTCATTGTCGGGATGGAAAGCGACTCTTCAACCACTTATTTAAGCGCTATGCACCTAAGCTCAGTTATTCTGGAAGCTATCTTGCTAAACCTAGATTCTTGCAGTTCCTTTTTCTTCTCTCTTTATGCTCTAAATCGTACTCATTCGACATCTAATTTCATGGGCTGGGCATACTTTAGCTCATTTTTATCTTTCTTTGACTTTGAGGAAGATCCCACAAATCGTCTTCTATCGACATGTCTGCTTACTCTTATCATACGCTCTTCTTACCCAACCAAAATCGTCTGGTACTTTGTCTGCTCTCCCTTTCCTGGTGAAGGAGAGAGAGTTTTACAAGCTGATGCAGCTAAGAAAGTATCGTTGAAAGCAGGAACGAAGACTGTGATGACTATTTGAACTAGTTTCAAAGTCTTGAGTGACCCTTGGGAGTTAATCTGGCTAGGGCGCCCTCGTAAGGCGTAGGGTAGAGATTTGAAACCGGAGGCCTCTCCTCATCTAGTTCTTTCGTTACGC